CCTGGAAGCGTATTATTAAATAAGATACATTACAATTACTTATAAGGGAAACAACCACTAACAGATTACTAATGTAGCATAATCACAATAAAACACATTCCAAATGATTACTAATCTACAACTCGCATCGTAACAATAGCCTGATTACTAATCTAGTATATAATTACAATCACTCCCCCCTTGAATCTTTGCACCTGATGAGTTAATGAGTTAATGATGACGTCATCCTGCTGCTGCTCTATATAAGAACGGGAGACACAGGAGAGCCTCACCATTCTGGCGAATTGCCCGATGATGCTGGTTGTAATTACCAGCGAAACGTCGTACTCAAATTGTGAATGTTGTTGCTTCAACACACCGGTGGGCTAAAGCAGTGAACTATTTGTCTTTGTCAACGTGACACATTTTTTACTGATTGGCCGTGTCGGGTGGTGGAGGGTTACGACACATTTATAAATAAACGCGATCTAAACCCAAAAATCGTTGATTATGAATAACATTGGTCGCGAAAGCCTACGTGTTAAACAGACGTCTGGCTGTTATCGCTGCGGGGTCGCGCGGGCGGGGGGCGCGGGCGGGGGACGCGTGAGGCGTGGGAGATGGAGTAACAAGTGCGAGCAGGAGAGAGCGGTCTTTCGCAAGGGGTGGTGGAGAGGTCCCATGAGCTGACGTGGAAGGAGTGGTGCTTAAACGACGGGCGAATTCTCAACACAAAGATGATTAAAGACGCCTTGGCAAGCGATGGAAGCTTGAAATTATCAAAAAGGAGGTTGGTGATTGGTAAATCACTTGGTAGTCCTGAAGGAGATATGAATCCATAACTCATGATCACAATAGAATCTTAAATTAATGGAGTATGTTAGATTAAATATATATTTTTTGCTTTCTCACGTTGGAAGCGTAAATCCATTACCAATGTCCGAATTGTAACGAGGGGGGCAAGATAACTCTCATAAGAATGATCCGTTATTAACAAAACTGGGTTTCAAGCAATATTGTTCTTAGGTACTTGCCCTATAGAAAACCAACTAAATTGATCAAAGATTTGCTCAAAACTAGGAAAGAATAAATGAGCACTTAAAGTACAGGGTATTTCAAAGAGATGGACCCAATTTCAGAGATATAGCGATTTCAAATCGGGTCCGTCGTTTTGAAACACTCTGTATTCATAAAACCAAACGGAAGTGCGCTCCTTCTGCTATCGTCCCAATAATATCATTATGTCCGATGTCATTATGAGGTGTCACTCATGGCTTTTTACATTAGGGCACAGCCTTTCAAATGAGCTACAAATTCTTTTTTTTTTAAAGCCAAGGTAAAAATAACAAGAAATAAAATGGACAGATGCAGAGATGAAATGAGGCTGGGAGAAAAGAAAGGAAAATAAATCAATCAAGCAGAACAACTGACAAACAAGACTCGAAAAGAGAGGGAGAGAGAGAGAGACGTGCAAGCCGAGGGGGGAAGGAAGCTTTGACGAGAGAGAGAGAGAGAGTGGGGGGGGGTGAGGAGGAGGCGGAGGCGAGTGTTATCGGAAGCGTTTGACGCAAGCACCTGCATAGGTGACTCAATCCAACGAGCTCAGACGCGCCCCCGGACCTTTTGTTGGACGACCTGAAGCCTCGTGGTATTTCTGGAAACGCGGCGCTTAAAATAACGAATCCGCCTTCAAATGCCCCGCGTGGCTATCGTCTACGTCACGATCTATTTTTTTTGTCACTTGTCTCGGCCCATTGCAGATTTGGCCCCGCAGTGAATGAGGTTCGCGGCTGTCAAAAGAAAACACACCACCACGAGTGATTTATTTTCACTTGATTTATGCTGCTTCGTGTGCCGTGGTACATTAACATTTTTATTTATGTAGCGCTTCAATAATAGGCGCCGGTTGCAAAAATGAACCAGGTAATTAAATAAAATAGCATCGAAGGAGCCAATAAAAAGGATCCATCGAAAAGGATTCATCATTGTTGGCCACAATCTCTTCACTACGGACAAAGGCCTCCCCAAGACTTTGTTTTCTCTTGTTGCCCTCCGGAGGCATATTTTTATTTCGACAAATCTTCCTTTTACACCATTGGAACCTCATTTGCCAGTAAAAAATATGATAATTGGTTTTTTACCCTTCTATCTGGCAACAAAACTGACACCTTTTTTTTTTACAAGGAGTCATGTTTGCATAGACCACAATACCTGCAGTCATAATGCAAACAAAAAAATAACTCTGATAATGTATGCACTGTCCTTGAAGTTGATTGGTCCACACCCGAGACAACTTTCCCTAGAGCCTAGTCTCACATGGGTTGGATCAGATGACGCCTTTTGGCGAAAGCTGTCTCGGGTGTGGACCAATCAACTTCAAGGACAGTGTATACATTATCAGAGTTATGTTTTTTGTTTGCATTATGACTGCAGGTATTGTGGTCTATGCAAACATGACTCCTTGTAAAAAAAGATGTCAGTTTTGTTTGCCAGATAGAAGGGTAAAAAAACAATTATCAAATCTTCCTTTTCTCGTCATATATTTTTGATGGAACTGCACGCATCTGGTGCACTGCCCATCGTGTGTTTTCTACTCACCAGATTTAAGGATGATGCGACACGCTCAGGCAAACGATCCAGCTCGTACGCACGTGCCGGGCGGATCGTTACATTGCAGGATTATGCGAGAGATATTTTGTGCAACCGACCAACGTCGTTCATGCTGCCTCTCATCTTTCCTCGTCGTTACGGTTTCAAGACTGTTAATGTGCATTGGAACAGAGCGTCACATGGAAGGAATCTGAGGTAGCGCCCACTCGTACTAACACCTTCCCTGTCTCCAACTCCCCATGGTCACCCATCATCAATCCACTCGCCTCATTTCGATCTTTGTTTATGCCACGCATCGTCACCACCACCTCATTTTACATATATCCCATCCACTGATCTCCTTTCATCTCTTCCAGATTTGAAGCTTTCGTGACTGCAAGAATTTATACTCTTAGGTTTTTACGGTCAAGGCACGTAGGTAAAAAATAATAGAAATAAAATAATAATAATAATAAATGAAGATAAATCAATTAAATCACGATGTTTCGGAGGCAACACAAGTCTCCGTTTTCAGGTGGGACCGTCAAAGCCAAATTTACTGTATCAAGTGGCTCACTTGTGTTGCCTCTGAAACGCCGTGATTTAATTTATTTATTTTCATTTATTATTACTTTATTTCAAATTTTGTTTCCCTACGTGACTTTACCGAAAAAACCTAATAGTATGAATCCTTTCATCTCGCCAACCATCTTGTACCATAGTTCACTGTACAGCGCCTTGGTTAAGGCGCTTTATAAATGTATGATAAAATAAGATATCCGCCTCCATGGGCCGTTCTCCAACACGGAGGGGCCGCAATGCTCTGCGGGAGATCCTGATGGATAATTCGTCTCCTTGACGTGACGCCGACAGCCACGAGCAGCATTTTAACTGGGGGGGGGGGTGGGGGTGGAATTACCGGCAAAAAAAAAGTGTTGAGGTTTTTCTTGGCACGTGGGGAATACGAGCCAGGCCCCTGGGAAGTGATTGTTGCGTGGTAATTGCGGTGTTTGCTGCCTGGTAATTGTGGTGGGACACAGACCTAAAAATTAGGTTACGTCCGGAATAAACCAATTTGACGCCTGAATGGGAAAGTTGTTTGTTTTTACCTTGCTTGGTCAGATGTTTGTGGCGCGGTTTTGCAACATGTTGTAAAACCGCTAGCATTGTTTGGAAAATTATTTACATTATATGATATTGGCAATATTTTTGAACCGAAATATAATATATTTAAATGAAGATGAGAATATTAATAATTTACACCAGACAGTCTCAATCATTCTTTTCAGGACAGTCCTGCATTTTGGATGTTTGGCTAATTCCATTTAAAACACTGCTTTTGGCATGTGGGAAGAAATGTGAGCTCCCGCAGAAAACCCACCATGCGTGGAGTAGATAAATTATTTGGCAAAGCTGCTGCATTGGCAGTGGTGCACAAGCACAGTTAACAAAAATAAAAATTCAACCCATTCACCAATAACGCTGGGTTGAACAGCACAAATATGTGAGGTGTTATGTTTCGGGCTATTTCCCTTCTTTAAAGCATGTGCTATGAATGCACATGACAGGGCAGCACTCAAACGTTTCACACAGATCTCTTCATGATGGCACTTTGTTCCACTGCCATCTTCCCGTTACCACCTTGCTGCCCAGCGGGTTTGAGAATCTTGCAAGTGTCTACATGATCCACCAACCATCGACTTTTAAAGTGCATGTGCCACTACGTCTGTCTAAATCGAGTCTCAAGACACTTTTACAGGAGGGTCTTGTTTGCGAGATTTGACCAGTCATGAGTCTCAAATGGGAGGAAGGGACCAATTGGAAATCGCGATCACGATGAGCGTGCGTTTATTTTAATCCGCGGAGGTTGGTGCACGCAATTCACAATCGCAAGGTAACAAGGTCAAAGGCAGGCAAGCGGCTCGACTTAGCCCATCCCTCTAGGGTCAATAACACGAGTACCACTCTGCGTTAAGTCAATAGTGGCTCTCGTTTGAACACAAGGACCTCTTGCCAAAGGAATGTGGATTTTCCACCACTGGCTTGAGAGAGGAGCCGTTTGATTTGATGATGTACGGTTTTCCGTGAATCGCGAGAGCGTTGTATGTATGTTGAACTTCCTACGCACCATAGCCAACCATGATAATCGGAGGTGTGGGAAAGGATAAACTAAACACAAAAACCTGTCCTTAAAAAATGTTGTTTTTAATTTAGATTCAAAAGTGCCATAGCTCCAGTGACTTCCTAATATCGGAAGGAAGAGTGTTTCCAGACGGCCGCAGAAACGCATCTGGAAAGAGCGCGATTCCGTAACCGTCTTTGTTCGATGGCGATACCAAAACCGCTGCGAGGATGACCAGAGTTCGCGTGATGCTTGATGTCGTTGTCGTCGTTCATGTTCCTCTTGATGATGATGTTGTTTTTTTGTGCAGGTGTCTGCCTGAAGGAGCTCACTACCTGGCTCCAGACCTCAACTCTGCTCTGAGCCTCATAGACTCCACCCCAGCGATTCAGGAGAAGCTGGATGGGGTGTGGATCTTGGGAGGCGGCGGCGTATATAAGGTAAGGGGATCATAGATTAAGGAAGTATTTGAATCCTTATCTGTTGGTGTGTGTGCGTTTGTGTGCCTGACTCTGCGTGGCCCTTTTTTTCAACGGTTTTATTTAACTTGACTCCCGTTTGTCGTGGTCAAATCTTGTAATCAAAAGTTATTCTACTTACTCTTGTACAATCAATTCGAAAATTTGCACACATACTCAGATCCGGTGACAATGCATGCCTGTATCAAAGTCGGCATCAATTCGTCAATTAATTGGCTCCTTTCAAGCAATTACAATTTTAGTATGGACGCCTTATTAATTATATATATATTTTTGAAGGTCAAAAACGCCGCGCTCCCTAAACTGTGGAATCGCCTCGCACAAAAAGCAGGCGCCACGTGTCTCAGGCACGCCTGCTCCGTGTGAACGAGTAGTACATTGAAGATTCATTTATAAAATAACCAATTATTTCTAGTAAGTGTTGATGTGGGAGCAGGCGCCGCATCATTGACATACTTCTCAAGGGTGAGTTAAACGAAGTTGTGAATAAAATCGTTGGTTTTTTTTTGCTTTTTTTTTTTAAAGGAGTTTATTGTGTCTTTGTGTCTCTGCATCTGTCTCAGTATTTCTGTGAGTCTCTGCGTGTGTTCGTGTATTTCTGTGTTTATATCTCTGTCTGTCCACCTTGATCTCTCTTGAGTATTTGTCATTCTGTATTGTGTGTCTCTATCTTTGTTAAATCCTTTATATTAAGTTCACTTGTTTGCTTGCGCTGCTTACGACCGTGCAAATCGTTCGGTCGTTTTTTAACCCACTTCCCGTGATCCAATCGAGCTGACATTTTGCACACAGACTCGTTGTGCGTGACAATTTATTTTCGTGAAAACAAATTTCCATGACTTTACACTTTTTAGGGAAAAAAAAATTATATTTCATTACCAATTGCTTAATGGTGGCAGGCAATCATCCTGACCCATAGGTGGCAGCCATCTCAAGCCAGAGGACGAGAGGACTCTAGCCGCCACGCATATAAAGGATTTATAGTGAAAAACTTTGTTTTTACGGGTTATTTTTTTCACTTTGTGTTTTTCGTGTATGTCTCTCTCCCTACGTCTCCTTCTCCCCCATCTTGTAAGCATCAAATACGAGTTCCTGGCTCGCAAGCACCCATGCGTAACCCAGGCGTGGAGTCACAGGAAATTCGCAAAATGAGTCGAGGCTGTGCAAAATTCAGAATCGGAATCTTGATTTAGACTGGAGGAATTCGATGAGCAATGGAGATGTCCAGCGCACATTGATTTTGATGTGTTTAATAATCTCCATATGCATAAAAGGCAAAGTTGTGATTATGTGTCTGTTCAAAATGCAACAAACTTGAAATTTGCCATTGTGGGTACTTTCCATACTATCCACCATGCAGAAAATAAAAAAATCCACTTTTTGGGGGGGGGGGGAGCTCAATAATGCATATTCTTTTTGCACGACAAGTGAGCTGTGAAGTCAAATCTGTCATGTGACCCGCGCATGCGGAAGCGTAACGCAGTGTAGTGTAGTGGTTAGCGCGCTGCGCTACGAACCCGGCGACCTGAGTTCGATTCCCGCTCACGGCCACCACCGGTGCCGATTATTTGAACCGGTCCTGGGCCTTCCCTAGGTCGACTCAGCCTCAAACGAGTAACTGCTGTGGTGTGTGAACATCGCCACTGGGGAGACAAAGGCGGCCGGACGTGGTGGATCCAAGTCCCGGGCGAAGCCGGGTAGTAAAGCTCGTAATTAATATGAATAATGCGCATTCCATCCTCGGATCCCAATGTACAATGCATGAAAAGCAGGAAACAAAAACAGAACTAGGGGCAGCCGACCAACTAAAAAGGAAAGGCCATTCTAGATTTGGAGTTTTCGTGACTGCAAGGATCCATACTCTTTGGTTTTTTTAGGAAAGTCACGTAGGTAAAAAATAAAAAGTAAAATAAATGAAAATGAAAACAAATAAATTTAATCACGACGTTTCGGAAGCAATACAAGCATCCGTCAGATCTGACTGCTCCAGCAAAATTACTGAAACGTATGAAGATAGTTATTATTATAGGAAAGGCCACTTTAAAGAGACGGGTTTTCAAAGCAGACTTGAATATCTCTTTTGTCTTCGATCGCCCGATTTCAAGTGGCAAAGGCGTTCCGTAGCTTGGGTGCCACCCCAGCAAAAGCCCGATCACCAAAAGAACGCAGCTGAGACCTGGGAGTGCTGAGCAGTTGTAGATCATTAAATCTTAAGGACCTTGATGGAATATATAAGTGTATTAGTTCCTGCAAGTAATGTGTGGGGATAGTAAAATAGGAGATTAAAATTAGCCACACTGTCTCCCACTCCCCCCAAGCAGCCTCGTGTCCCGCCACCACTCATCCTACTCGGGAATCAATCGCGCCGCGTATTTATTTTCGGAAATCGCAATTGCATTACCTTGCGAGGCAAGTGTGCATAAACACATTAAAAACGGCTAAAGGCCATTGGTGTTGGGCAATAAACTAATTTGTGTGTAAGTTTATTTCAGTCGTCATTAATTCCCAATCGCCACAGATGTCAGTTCCCACGCACGCACGTGCACGCGGCTGGTGGTTCCGATAACGTCACCAAGCACCTGCCCATCGCCTCCCGTTCAGCGGCACACGTTTAGAAGAGAGACAGAGATTTTTTTTCCCAACTACTTTCGTGTTAAATTTCGAATTAATGCTTTCGTGACTGCAGGGATTCATATTCTTGGTTCTTTCGGTAAAGTCACGTAGAAGGGAAATAATAAAATAATAATAATAAAACGCTAAAATTCTCACGATGTTTCGATTGCTGTGGTTTTCACACCTGATGATGATTGCTTGTGTTGCAATCGAAAAGACGTGAGAATTTTATTGTTATTATTTTATTATTTCCCTTCTACGTGACTTTACCGAAAGAACCAAGAATACTTTCGTGTTATCCGATTAGTCAAGCGGTTGAATCGATAGTCGATAAATTGACCGATTACTTACATGATCGGAGAACCCAGCTCCAATTCTATCATGTGCTTAGCAGTCGGCTTCCCACCCAAGCCATCGATGCAATGGCTTTATCTTCGACCGTGATTTCGGCAATTGGCACATTCTGCTAACGATCATGTTGGCTACGTACGGTGCGAAAGAAGTTCAAGATGCATCCATGTTTCTGGCCCAGAAACATGTATGTATACATGCCCATGTTGCTGACACTGGGGTGTATACCCAAAGGAGTGTAGAGAGATGCAGTGCTTCGAATTGCATTACGAGAAGGAAAGGGGACCACGTGTATTCGGGCAAGAAGGTGAAGACCCAAATCGAACTATGAAGAAAAGCAAGTGGGGTTTGGGGGAGGACACTTCGCGAGAAGGGATTGTGGGCAGTGGTCGAGAATGATAGCGGAGTGGCAGCTCGGGCAGGAGCCGTGTCCGAGACGGAGCGATGAGATCAGCTCGCGTGCAGGCGTTCTGTGGATTTTTGCATCGTGACGGATTGGGAAGGCCTTCATCCAGCAGTGGATTGATCTACAGCTCTGGTCTTCTGTTGGCGGGAACGTGGCTTTTGCGGATCCCTCGGGATTTGCGTTTGAGAGAGCGGTGCTTGGAGCAGTAGAATGAGCTGCTGTGCTCTCTCCTCTAGAGGATTCCATCCCAAGCTCGAGTTTGTAACCCCGACCCCAACCCTGACCTTTCTTTCCTTGCCCCGTGCGTGTTTTATCCGCGTAGCCTCGTTATTGCAACCGCTTCGTTACACCGTACATCACTGCGTTCAACAATGCAGCCCTTATTTTTAGTATGGTACAGTATGTTAACGTCAAAACGTGCCGCTGCTCAACTGAGTTAGTCCATAGGCGGCCCTGAGCCAGAGGTAGAAATTCCATGTTCTAACGGTATTTTCATTCTTGTCATTGAACGACTGTAAGCACTTAACGCTGGGTTGATGCGTTGATCTTACATACATGTTTACGCTCGTCACATACGTGTTGAACTTAACATACTTTTGGTTGATAATTGGTTGTTTACCCTTCTATCTGTCAACAAAACTGACACCTTTTTACAAGGAGTCATGTTTGCATAGACCGCAATACCTGCAGTCATAATGCAAACAAAAGACATAACTCTGATAATGTGCACTGTCCTTGAAGTTGATTGGTCCACACCCGAGACAGCTTTCCTTAGAGCCTAGTCTCACATGGGTTGGACCAGATGACGCCAAAAGGTATTGCGGTGTATGCAAACATGACTCCTTGTAAAAAGGTGTCAGTTTTGTTGCCAGATAGAAGGGTAAACAACCAATTATCATATTTTTACTGGCAAATGAGGTTCCCATAGTGTAGATACTTTTTGGTTCTTTCGGTAAAGTCACGTAGATAGAAAAATGAATAATAGATCACGACGTTTCGGTCGCAACACAAGCAATCGTCTTCAGGTGACAAAATACAGCAGGCGGACTGCTGAGGCAGGAAGAAATGTAGCGAGAGAGCTATCACGTGACTTTATCGAAGGAACCAAAGCGTATGAATTCCTGCGGTCACGAAAGCTTAAAATCAAGTACTGAACGGCTCGCTGCGAGAATTCCAAATGGAAATGTCTTTGTGTCGTGACCGGCACAATTGGAAAGTAATACAATTCTCCAACAGATTCTATTCTAAATAAGCGTAAAATTAGGCGCGAAAGAATAATTCACATGTGCACACTCACTATAATCCTTGCCCTATAACTCACCCTGCGGCCTTCAGCGATTTCCATCTCTCTCAACCTCTTTCCGAGCCTTACCCCCGCCGTAACCTTTCTCTTAGTCTCGCGTGCGCCTACAAGACCGCTTTGTCTCCGTCGCGATGTTTCATATTTTACACGGCCGTTTCAGGCGAGGTCCAAGGTCCACTTGTTCTGTGGTGATATTCTTTTTGTTTCCACGTCTAGGAGCGTACGTGCAGCTTGCAGGCTGCACCAATTTCCCTACCCCCTCCCCAACCTCAGCACTCGCCCCACAAT